TCACTCACATTTTTATGATATCCGTAAATGTTATATTATCAAATTATTATTATTATTATTATGTTATTTTTTATTATCCGTGAATGTTAGCAACTGGACAAATTGAATGCAGCGGTCAAGGAAAAGCGACCAGAATTGGTCGATCGTAAAGGTGTCATTTTCCAGCAGGACAATGCTAGGCCGCACACGTCTTTGTCCACTCGGCAAAAATTGATGGATATCGGTTGGGAATCGATGTTACACCCACCATATAGCCCTGATCTCGCGCCATCGGATTTCCACTTATTTCGATCCCTGGACAACTCCCTTCGTGGTAAAACTTTTAACGACGATGACGCTGTAAAATCTCACTTAACTCAGTTTTTGGCCGAAAAGGATCGGACTTTCTACGAGCGTGGAATTTTCAAGTTGTCGGAGAGAGATGGCAAAAGGTCGTCGAACAAAATGGAAAATACATTACAGATTAAACTTCGTTCCAAGTAAAAAATATTTTTTATTTCATTGAACAAATCGGCAATTACTTAGTTTCCAACCCGATAGATTCAGCGAGTTTTATGACAAAAATGAACAATGCCGTTCCTGTTTGGTGCAATCGATGTATATAATTTGGATTTCGCATCTAGTAATTTCTTATGCAACAGTTGGAGCTTAATTTCGATTTTAATGAATTTCAAAGTTGTTCAAGCCGATTGAGACACACCGTATATCGACATTTTTCGATTCTTTTATCCTTCGCGCTGTTACAAATTGTTCCAACTCATTTTTGTCACACAAACGCATAAGTAAGTCTAGTTAGAACTTGGACAGAATTTATGTCATAGTTAAACCATCGATCTTCGTGGATTTTTGCTGTGTACAGAATTATTAAATAAAAAGAAACCTGTAACAAACATTAACACTCGAACGGCAGGGTCCATTAGGACGCAGAGCGTAAATACTGTCATTTCGTTACCGCGATTCCGACGATTAATTTGAATTTCGACGCGTTTCGTTCGCGTCTATAAAGAATCTAACGCGCGCCTTAAAAAATTCGTCGAAAAAAAGATCGACAGGTAACGTTATAAGTAACGTTATAAGCAAGCTCGGTTAATTTTCTATTAAAAATGTTGCTACGCTGCTAAAACGAATTTGCATACAAATCCGCAGTCTAATTAAACCCGGCGGAACGGACAAATTTCTAAGCAATTGAAAAGGTCAAAGTTCAAAGATCGAGCGAGAGACGGTGCAAACGAAAGTATAATACTTACCGCGCGAATGGGCGATGTTGTGAATATTCCGCGGGTCTTCTCTCTGATTGGTGATCGGGATCGTGTCCCCATCTTCGTTCAGGTTCACGTCGGTCCAAGCCTCCTCGGACGAGTTATGCTTGTTCTCATTGTCGGTGGTCACGTCGGACGGACTTGCATCCGCGGTGATATTGCTACGATGCACTGTCTCCTCGCTGGAGTCGTTGCTCTGGGAGAAATTCGCACAAAATTGGGACGGTTAAAGCATTCGTGGGCGGGCGAATCCGCTTCGCGGCTGTGCGGCAACACCGATCTTTGGAGTCGATTGTTTTCATTCATGGGACAACATCTAGCGGTGCTAGTGCAATAGTTACGCGGAGGTAATAAACTCTTTCCTGCTCGAACATTGGGAAACCGGCGGCGTACGAGAATGGAAATCGGCGAGAAGAGAAAGAAAGAATAAATGGTGTCGAACGATAAGTGACTTTGGTCGAACAATTACTCGGAGAAAAATGTGCTACGTCTACTTGGTCTACTACGGTACTGGATAATATCGAATACTTCTAAACGGAAGCCTAGCTTCCGTTCCAACGAACGATCTAGTGTCATCGATAATAATTAAAGTCTATTTTAAACAGTCTTAGGAACGTTCTATGGGAATCGAACGATATAACTCTGCGACGAGATGTCTCGCGTGCTATGCACACAGTTTACGTCATGCAGATTAACCCTTTGCGCTCGAGCGGTGCGCTCCGAGGCGCCGCTAAAATCGTTACATCACGTTCCAAGATCATTTTTATATCAACGAAGTTTACGCTTAAGAAATTGTTAAAGGTGTAACTGTTGCACGAGTCGCCGCAGGACTCGATTTCGTATGCATGAAATGCACTTCGTCGCATGAAACGGAAATGCTGTAAGTCGGAAAAATGATTTCATTTTCATTTTAAAATAGCTTCGAGTGCAAAGGGTTAACGTAACATCGCTATGATTACGCAGTCATCTAATACGTGTAAACAGGAAATAAAAGCTTCCTCTAGGAGACTTTCCAAGCTAAGTTTACGCCCCGGCCGCACAGATGTTACGCCCGTAAACCATTTTTTCGTGGCAAATCAAACGGAAAAACTGTCGGACACAGACGAACCGTTTTCTCTTTTTTCACCGTTCAGAAACTAATATCTTTGTTTATCATACCGCGTCGAGTGGGCATTCCTTCTGCGCGTTTCTTCTTGCTCTCACGGGCAGAGAACGTGCGAACGTATTTTGCAAAGTATTTTCGAACGCTCCCAAAACGGGTGGACGGTCAACGGGTGGCGGAGAGACATCGACAATAAAGTGGAAACAACAAAGAGACATTGAGGGGGGGCGGGGGGAATCGGAGGGCGGTTACGTCGTGTTTAATAAGAGTATAATCGTTTTTACCGGGTCCGTTTTACAAGTCAAATTTTACCTGGATTGTTCGTGGCAGTGGTTCGGGCCTTGTCGTAGAGCCAAGCGTTGGTTCTGACGAGGTGTAATCCTCGAGAATTGTCCGTGGCCGAGGTACACCACTGTGACCTCCCTTCAGAACCAGTAGTTAGTACGCATAGCAATGCAAGCAGAGGAAGTTAACGATCAGAAAAGAAATTCGAAAGTAAAGGAGATCGCATGCTCTCGTTGCTAATCGGGGATCGAAACCGGGCACAATTATCTCTCGGGACGGTCGAATTATGTACAAGAAATTGGATCGAGCTTACGTTCGGTTCGTTGTCGCGTTATCTTATGTAACTCTTGTAATTCGAATTCTATGCTAAATATTTAAATATGGAAAATATTCAATCGTCAAGCGATTAGAACAGGCCGCAGACTTTTAACCAGTTAACTGTGGCGATCTTCTTGCAAAGCGCACACCGGTGTGTGTCGCGATAATTAAGCGATTTTTCATTTGTTTTGTTTCATTTCGTCTTGACCTCTAAATATTTTAAACATATTAAAATCTACGAATATAATTTCCTTTTCGCCAGAATTACAATTTAAATAGCAAATTGTAACAAAAGTTTACGTATGACAGATATAATCGTCACGATACAAAATTCTGCCACATCTCCATGACGGATATAGTCGTCGAACGCACTTAACTGGTTGAGAAGATGAAAGATAAACAAACGATTGCTTGTAGAAAACGTCAACCTGTGTGTTTCGATGTTTTTAAATTAAAGCGTCGAAATTTTGCGATTTTAAGTTGCTCGCGTCGAAGATTGATTCGACTTCGGTGCATTTTACCAGCAATTTCATCGTCTCGAGGCTTTCCGAATTCTTCCCGAATTTTACGAATTCCCCTTTTACGAATTCCGCGTATTCGATCCTTCCCGAAAAACTGAAATCTGTCACCATCTCGAAGCTACAGCCTGTCCCAGTCGCGCACGCTGTATAATTACACAGAACTGTTGTTCCCGACTACACAAGTGCAGAAGAACACTAAGTACACACTACATGCTGCACGTAGCAAGAACAGTATTTTACTGGTAATTCTTTGAACATTACTCAAGGGTTCTCTAGTATCCGAACTATGATATAAACTACTTCTAAAAGAGAGCTCGAACAGGGACTGGGTCGAATGATTCTGTGCGCCGAAATTCATCTGATTTCGTTGCTTTCGTTACTTCACGTTCTTTGGTACTCGCATGCAGTCTGTCCGTGATCGGTACGGACAGCAAGTTCGAAGTGTACGTTTCTCAGTTTCGAATGACTACGGGAGAAGAATCAGTCGGAAAGTAGTATCGGATTAATAATGAACGAATGCAAAGCGTACCGTGTTTTGCGAGAGGTGTTCAATTTTTATTACGACCGCAGATCGTGCGTGTTAGGAAGGTGCAATAAGTATCGAAAAGGAATTAGATATGTACAAGAGAACGTGAAGAGTGAACGCTCGAAGTTGGATCGCCTTAATAATACCATTTATTTACGCAGCCGAAAGAAACAGTTCAACGGTTCAAAAACAAAAAAAAAGAAAAGAAAAATCAATTAACCGAACTCGGCGCAATTTACAAACGCGGCTCTGCTTCCGCAGAAGCGAACAGCTTCGAACGTATTTTTTTCTCCCCCCGTCGGAGATCCAATTATTATTCCGACGATCCGCTTCGGACGGCTCACCCCGTATAAAGATCACGGCTGCGAGACAATCGTTAAATTCCACGAACGGTAATTTGGACGACGCTTCGGCGATATACAGTCTACGGTACAATTAAAAGCTGAAAGATCACAGTATCGAGTGAAACGGGATTGCATTCCTTCTCAGAGGGAACAGCATGCAGTTCTCGAGTAAAGATTATCAAGAGGAAATTTCATCGGTGGACAGATTAAGACCCGGTATTCTCGTATCCTCGTTGCTTGAGCACACGGCAGAGAGATACTGAGAGCAATAGGTTCAGAAGAGAGTTTTACCTGAGCAATATCGGATCAATAAATCCCGATGTACACGCACGTCTTTCGTACAGGTAGAACGTTTTATTTCTTTTCTCTTTAATCTCGTCGCACGCGTTACGAGCAAGGTGCAGCGAAACGTTGCATCTTATCGAACGGGTGCTACGGGTACTCGTTTAGGGGGACCGAGGATTCTCTTGGTCGCTTACCTTGGTCGACGGGGGCCCGGACGACGTAACGTCGTGATCAGCCAGAATCGACGAGTTGTTCTCGTCGACGATTATTACTTCGTATTCGCCGTCGTCTTGAGAACCAGCCTGGCTCATGATACCGCCGCTTCCTGGGAACACAGTTGGACAGAGTGACAGCGTGCGGCCTGGCCGTCGTTATCGGGGCATAATCATTTTCTTGCAAAGCACATGACATGAACGCTGATGCGATCGACGATTGCATTCGCGTGGAAACACTCTCTTCGCGCCGCCGCGACCGGCGAAATTCTACTCGAAAATCTGAATTCTGTTGCACCTTTGCGCGAGCAAACCGAGACCTTTTCATCTTCATCGAGTTCACGAGTTCGTTCTAGTGGGAATACGGAATGGTCGCGTACTTTCTTAACCTTTTAGGTACGGCCGAATTCTGCGCGAGGCTATTTCCCTGGACGGCAGAGTCTGATATGTACTGTACAGAGTCTGATACTGTATATTCTGTCTGTATATACAGGGTGTCCCAAAAATGTCTCGCAATCCGAAAGTAGCGGGTTCTTCAGGCCATTTGAAGCAACTTTTTCGTTTACAAAAATTTTCTCCGAGGCACCGTTAACGAGATATAAACGAAAACAGTGACCAATGAGAGGCGAGCTCGGCTGGCGCGAGGCGATCGAGCCAATGAACGGAACTGGGCTTCGCGCGCTGGTTGGCTGGGCCGCCTCGCGTCAGCCGTACCCGATTCTTATTGGTCACTGTTTTTCGTTAACAACTCGTTAACGGTGCCTCGGAGAACATTTTTGTAAAGGAAGAAGTTGCTTCAAATGATCCGAGGAACCCGCCATTTCCGGATTGCGAGACATTTTTGGGACAACCTGTAGACTGTTGTAAATCGATGCGAAGACAAAAGAAGTGTGAAACAATGCATACGAAGACGATTATTTGGTTCAAACGATGAGTGAGGGTGCTACTAGAGCAAGCCACTATAGTGGCGCGTCGTCCAGAGAGATGACATCCGTGAAAGCCACTATAGTGGCGTGTCGTTCTGAAAGATGATATCCGCGGAAGCCACTATAGTGGCGCGTCGTGCCTAAAAGGTTAAGAAATAGCTCGTCGAGGAAAGCGTAGAAACGAGCAGACGAGTGTCTCTGGATGCCCACGCAAGGGTTCAAAGGTTCTTTCGAAATTTTCAAGGACCATCTCTCTAGGTGGTTGAACATTTTTGTTTGTACGTTATTTTCATGGTTCGAGGGTCTAGACGTCGATTGCATCGTGTAGGAAAGGAGGTCAATTATAGTGCAGGAGTCTCAAAACGGATGGGACAAACGAAGCAATAGGTGTGTCATTATAAAGCATTCAAAACTGCTCAACGATTTGAAGGGCAGAGAAACTGTAATTAGGTCAGGTTCCACTGTGATTAATACGGTAATAAATATTTTTCGATGGAGCATCTTGATAACGACGGTTTCTCATCCCTTCGAATCAATCTCTCAAATCATACGTGATTACTATAGCGAACATAAGAAACAACTGATAGTGGTCGCTTGAAATCTTTTACCACGTGTTTAGTAATTTTAGTTTCGCGAAAGTTATCGAACCGATAATGGCGGTGCAGTAATTTCTTCCTAATTCGCGCTGAGATTGCGCATAAAAATGGACAATTTGGGAAGAATTGATACGATTATTCGAGCCTTGCGGCTCGTTTTTACAGATGTTGGCAATCAGGTAACTATAAAAGCCTTGCGGCTCGTTTTTATAGTTATATCAATGCTTTCCAAATAGTTCATTTTACGGACAATTTCATGGACAATAATAATCATATCAATGCTTCCCAAATCGTCCACGAGCCGCAAGGCTCGTATAATCGTACCTCCTCTTCCCAAATTGTTCATTTTTGTGCGCAATCTGAGAGCGCGAATTAGACAGAAACTACCGCATTCGGTGTTACAAATTTTGCAAATATCGCAAATCTCCAAGTGTTCGAATAGAGTCAACATTATAGCACGCATCACTATTTTGGTTAAGTCCTGCTTAGGACTCGTTCAGGAAAAAACTTTAATGGCATCAAATACAACTGCGTTCTACCGAACATGCAAGCATGTGGATTTTGCTCGCGAAATGGTATGCAACTGGTGCGTCTTTTCCACATACAAAGTTTCTGTGCGAGTGTTTTATGCGTCTCAAGCGATCAGATAATGGCCGTTTAGTATATCTCAGTGACGGCGTTGCATAAACATTCGTTTAGTAAACAGAAGTTTCACGATCGAAACACGTCCATTCATAGACGCCTAGCAGACTCGAAATACATAGAAGCATCCACGAGCGGACTTAAACTTTCCAGGCTGCGAAAAACGCATCGACCCGTTCGATCGACAAATTAAAGGATCTATCTACAAAGAGTGAACCAGCAAAGAAATCACGAGGGAACGGTGAGATTCAAACAGTGTCATTCCTGCAAAACAAAATGCTGCTGGGAAACGAAACCATAAGGACAATTCTGCGAGTTTGTGTGTGTGTGCGTGTGTGTCAATGTACGTGCACGTGCATGTGTCTGTGTGTGTGTGTAGAACAAACCTGGAAACTCTTTCAGACGAGACGCTTATAAATTCTCAAGTCTGAACAATTTTCGTTTCAATTAATTATTCAGCTTATCTGTCGTTTTCATTGTTACTGAAGCTACGCGCAGATTTCGTCAGACTGTGGACGTTCGCGTATTCGTGGCGAAGTTGGATAGATAGTAATTTTAGAATGAATTCAAGAAAATGAATTCGAACGCATCGGACGAGGATTAAACAGTCCGACACCGGTCTCTTGCAAATGTTGCAGAAAATTATTACGTTGCACAATGATCCACGGTCTGGAGTCTTTACTTGGTCCGACGAGTGTCTCGTCTGAGAAGGGCTCGAGTCTCTTTACCAGTGAACAGCGACATGCGGACAAAGAGATCGTGACGTCAAGACCACACACAGAAACGAACAACTGAGAAGAACGGAAAAAAACGGAAAAACGGGAAACAGAAAACGCTAAGAAAGTCTCGTTAGAAGAGAAAGAGATAGAGATAGAGATAGAGATAGAGAGAGAGAGAGAGAGAGAGAGAGAGAGAGAGAGAGAGAGACAGAGATAGAGTTAATAGTTCTGTTCGAGACGGCAATAAAAGTAAAAAAGAAATTGAACGAGCAGGCCAAAGAAAGAACTCGAGGCATTCCGTGGAACAACGTTCGGGCAATCGAGTTACCTTGCAGACCGACACCGGAGTTTCTATGACAGAGATTTCGGGGCTGATCGATATGCTTTTGAAGCGTATGATGGTGATTGTTGTTATTGTGATGATGGTAATGATGATGACGATGATAGTTATGGTTATTCGGATGATGGTTATAATGATTACTGTGGTGATTCGGGAGATAATAGTTGGAGGGGGGCTGGCGGTTAGAGTGCCTGGCAGCCGGTAGCGGGTGCTGGTGGTGGTGCTGGTTGATGTGGTGGTTGGCATTGACATTGGCATTCGCATTGGCGTTAGGGTGAGATCCCGGGAGGAACTGTGGGTACACGTGGTGAGACCACTGTGGAAACAGGGGCCGCCCTCCTCCACCACCATTCCCATCTGCTGAGGAACCACATTTACCACGTTACCACCGATTCTCGATCGCTAAGCCCCCTTATCTGTCGTGCATTCTCTCTTATCTTCGTGTTACGTGGACGAGAACAGAAATTTAGGCGTCTCCGTACCCCGAAGTTCAGGACCTAATCTACCCTTAAATCCCCGTCGCTTGTAAAACCACGTGACTGACGTGACTCCATCGACCCAAAGGAAGCAAGTGCAAATATTTTACCAGGAAACTTTGACTTATTCGAATTCGCATCTAAAACCTGGAAGCTGACTTTACACAGGACTATCTATGACTTTACAGGAGACGCATAAACTTTTGCTTCTCGGTACAGTTTAGCTTCAAACACTGGGTTTCACTCTGTCTGGTGTGCAACCATTAGTTTAAGCTTCTAAGAGAGTATAATTTTCTGGTGTATTGGAAAACATATTTTTTTTTCTAGCTGATGCTAGAGATAGTTAGGTATTAAGGAGGATTAACTGACGAAAGCTACCACTGTTACCCATCCGAGATGTTGTATCGTTATGCGATACCATGATCATTTAATGTTAGTGGCTCGCAGGACGTCTAGTATCTGAAAACAACCATCCTTTTTCAAGGTCACCTGGACTTTTCTCAATATGACATATCTCTGTCTTTATAAAGTCGCAGCAATTAGCTGCTCTAGCATGATCTTCAGACAACCTTGGATCCAGAAACTTCAATCTACACAGTTCCTGAATTCAAGGTGACTTTGTCTCTTGTTTGGAAAATTCTGAGAACTCGAATATGTAGTTTCATCGATAAATGATCAAAAATGTCTGAAAGATGGAGTGGTAGTATATTAGCATTATTATAGTATGTACAGGCACATAACATACTACACAACTAAATCAGAACAGTTTTGGAAAATCTTCTATTTGTTATGTTGTTGTTGTTGTAATTGTATTCTGTCTGCCAATTCTTGTTCAAGTGTTTGTTAACGTGAAAGTAGAAACATTTATGTAGTAATTGCGTTGCATTCGCATCGCAATGACATTATATTTGATTTCTAATATTTCGATTATACATTGCACAATTCAAACGAAACTTGACTTACATGTTCTCTCGGTGGATTTCTCTTTCGATTGAACTATTGTAATACTTTTACGAACTTTTTTTATTGCTTAAATTGTAGATCATTACTCTAAATTCTTTTCAAGAACTTTCAACGAATTTACAAATATTTAACCGAATTTGAGACACGATTATACATATGATAATACGTGTAATAATATTTATTACAAGAGCGAAGTAAGACATTTTTTTTCTGGAAGTTCATCGAATGCAGAGTTGAGCAAAATTTTATTCGGACGACGATTTAGAGATGAATACTAACGAATAAAATTGTATTCGACGCTATCGAATAAATATACAGTTGATTAAAAATTTATCTAGATCAAAATTTATGCAAATAAGAATTAATTCGAATAATATTTCGTTGAACAAATCGGCAATTATTTAGTTGCCAACCCAATAGTTTGCCGGTGCAGAAACGCGAATTTCAAGCACTGAATTCGATAAAAACGACACGTAATCACAGAGAACATCTTGTCTTTTCAAAATTTAATGTAACTACGCGCCTTCACCGTAGTGGCCCCGCAATCAGTGATCAGGAATCGGGACCAAAATTTCGCCCTTTGGTTAACAGTGGTGAACTGGAGAATTATCGTGTTGGTCGGTGTGTCGTTAAACAAATGTAACAAATGTTCAAAAATTCAGTTCATTAGTGGTCCGTTAGTATTTTTTTCAGCGGGATTTAAAAGTTAAAGGGGTGGGTGCCAATCTCTTCAAATTTTCATCAGAGTAAGCGCTGAAATTTTCAAATGTCACAAGACAAAGTTGGTCCGCAATGTCATCGACTATCATCCGCAACGAAAAATATAAGGAACATTATTAAAATTAATAATATTTTCATTCCTAGAGCGAAACTCGGTACATATAATGATAATGAATGATATTTTACCTTGCACAATGGCTAAACCACTCTATCATTTCAAAGAAACATAAAGTACTAAATTCAGGAGCATCATTCATGATTTATACATCACACACATTGTTAAAGTATAACATTTAATCGATACGAGTCATCAATTAGTCGGTTTGTTTCGAAGTAACACTTAATGTAATTGATATATGTAGACCATTCTCTATTATACTTTATAGTTATACTATTATAAATGTATATATAATATTATATTGAAATTCTTTCAGGGGAGAAATTGAATATTTTTTAATATAAAGTAATAGTGGCATAATAAGAACGTATCCGAACGTAAAAGAAAGTGCTAATGCATTCTGCAAACATCAAAACTCTCACTGTCAGATACATATAAAATAGTTCATACGGTGCAATTGAACATGCGCTCTATTTTGTGTGTTTGTGCTGTTGTTTGAAATTGCAGCTACACAATTAAAGTGCACAGTGTCCCATGTTAGCTACATATTTGCACATACATTTGTGTTACGTACAATACTTTCATTTTCATCGATTAATCGATAGAGTCTGCAAAATATTTTACTATATCGAGAGTAAAAGTTATTATAATGTATCGTATTTGAAGAATTCGAGATTTATTAATTGCTGAGAAAACATAACCGATATGCTTATACATCGCAATTTAATATAATCTGTATACATAGGATTATGTAACACGCTATTGCGTTACACTTAGCATTTATAGAGAAATTGATTTTGAAGGTGAATTAATTTCCAATAGAGTTAATAGAGTTAATAAATACAACAAGATATATATCTGACATGTAAGAGTTTTGAAGTAATTACTAGATACAATTAATATTAATCTTCCGTCAAAGAACAATAACATTTTCTGTGTACAGTTTGTTAGAGGGTTAACACATATATATGTTTGAAACTCAACATGCATGTTTGAATATCAACATCAAGTTAAGTATTCCTTGCATGTCTGATCAATGCATCTTTTCAAAAGCTCCTGTCGCTTGGTAACTTCCTATTTCTAATTATGAGATCAACAAATTCTATGCAATTTGTTACAAATGATACTATCGTATACCTCAAAATACTGTCAACAATGTTAATGTTATGAGACTGTTATTTGTGTGAAATCAAAAATTGCCTAACAAATGTTCGATAAGTTTCATTTAAAAAAAATGTTATGTACTTCTTTGTAGCAATGAATTGTTTAATAGAAGAGCAGTATTATATCTTACCTGATGGACTGCCTGGTCTCAAACTAGCGCCATTAGTCTGTATAGTTTGAACTGGGCTCGGTGGACGTTGAGATATTGGCGGTTCCAATATGTCACGATACTTTGATACCATTAGTACAGAGATGAAGTAAACTATAGCCAGGGACAGAAACTGGGCCTGCTTGGTTTCTTCCTAAAATGATAAAGACGATGCGCTCTTTATTATCTAGAATTTCCTCATTGTTGTAGCCACATTTCATTTTGAGGCATTTAGGATTTAATGGATTGTAAAACACATGTATACGTATGTACTTACAACATCTCTGTATATCACAGCTCTTAAACGGTTCACGTCCATGTCTTGTAGTAATTTTTCAGGATCTTTAACGGGGCTTAATTGATGGGCCAGGTTATCCACAATGTTCTGTAGGGCATAAAAATTCCATTTTATTCGGATATTAAGCGGCTCGCGTCGATGATCACTGTGAATGCTATTCTTCTATATGATATGGCACTGGACAAGTATGCATTGTGTGCAATTTGTCGAATATCGATGACAGTAATACACATTCTGTCTATGTAAATTAAATTTGATCAGATGAAACGTACCTTAGGTGATGTTTGAGCTCCTCGTATGAGAGACTGTATGTGCTGTGATTTATTACTAGTACCAATCTGCCGACCTAACATGCTGTACGATCTGCCACGTTCTTTACACTCTAAGCAGTTTCTAACAGCACATGTACAGACCTATAGAAGCATTTTCATCAGATGAATATAACAAAAATGTAGAGTGTAAAAGATGGTGTTCTATATCACACGTATACAGAAGCCGATAGTATTACAACTATTTAACACTGCTGATTTTAAGGACTATTTCTATTCGTAAGAATTTACTTGTAAACTACTAGAGTGTTAGGGTTCAGGTTTGGGAACATTTCGATAAACAAAATTCCAAGATCTTTGTACCTTCGTGTCATGGACTTAATGGGTTCCTTCAGACTTTCCAATCAAATTATTATTCTTTCATTCTATCGTTATTATCGATTGTCATTTATAAATAAAGTTTCACCATCTACTGTACTATAAAACACAAACGTGTACGTGTACAAAGAATTAATGTTGAACAACAATATTATACAGGGTGTTCGAAATATCTGCCTTGACGAACCGATTAGATGTCAGAGAAATATGAAGAACAACTTTGAACATTCGTTCTAACAAATTTAAAAGAAATAAATATTGACAATCTTGAACATCGAGAAACTATGATTTTGCTTACATTAACACCCTGTATATGAACAGAACGATTCTTCTATTACATTCCCAATGTACATGAACCTTGTCTTTCATTAACGAATAAATTTTAAACAAAATCGTAGTTTGTAATCATAAATATATATATATTAAAATCGGAACAATACTACTACGAGGAGTGTGAAAGACCAGGCCAATTTGGAATCGGTGTGAGTGTTTATCTATAACAGGTATCGTTTGTTGTGAAGTGCAGCAACACGATGAATCTAATCAATGTGCATCGCAAACGTTTAACGTGATTCTTCTCGACTGACGATTTTGCTTCGTTTATTTATATAGAGAGGCAACAAATCCTCGTAGAAAGTTTTCTTTTCGTAAACTATCTCTGAAGACAAAGACAAGTACACGATAGAGAGGGGGGAGAAATTTTTTATAAATGGTGGCAAGAGTAGTGTGTTTGTCTGAGAAATTAAATTACTACGTGGACGATGATACAAACCAGTCGTAAACACTGCCTGAGAATACCGCCACTAGACATATTCTTCTCGGCCTCCAGTTCACCGAAATTTAAAGAGCTGGCGAAGATAAGTACATCAGCCATGTTGACTAGTCTTTGCAGAAAAGAAACCGCTACCTCAATTGGCATCCCCTGAGTTGGTTCAATTACATCCAATTCGCTCTATGAATATCCAAGCACGAATTAAAAAAAGGATCTCCGTAAATAATGAAACTCATCGTCTGGTTACACTCTTTCTATAGTAAAGTAAAAGAGAAAGTCGATAAACAACGGATACATACGTTCGGCGAGGTCGCTGATGCTAGAAGTGGCAACAATCCTCCGCAGGCAATTATCAGATTGTCGGCCAGCTGCGAGATCAAGTGAACAGTGTTAACAACAAAAATTGCGTTCTCGCTGCTGTTCACAAAATCCAACACTGACTTCGTGGAGTGGCTGGAACACGTTCGTTAAAAATCTCGTATCATTCGGCTGTGTTTCTTATGAATTATTATATATTATTATTATGTATTATATATTATTATATATTATATTATATATTATCTGTGTTTCTTTGAACATCTTAATGTTCAAAGTTCCATACCTTCTCCAAACTTGAATGTCTGTCTCTAACGAGAATAGAACATCCGAGAGTAGTCTTTGATGTATGTAGGACCATTTGAACTCTGGTATTCTGAAAGGAGGTCGGGTCGGACCTGGACTGAACATTGGTCTCGTTGAAGGATTACCTTGTTTGGCTCTTTTTGATTCTGCAACAAAACGAATGACATGTATTGACATTATCACAGAGGACTTCGAAGGTAGCTCTATTGAACTCTATTGGACTCTCCCTCGGATGGCTAAAACCTTTTCAATTACTCGTGCTTGTATTGTACTTTGAACGATAACATCTAACGAAGAGTCTTCGAGGGGCCAGGCGTTCGAAGATCGAAGCCGTAGAATTAAGCGATTAAATCGATGTCTTACCAAAATGATTGGGGTCCACTTGCGTGGATGTTGAGGCACTCCTTGGTCGTTTCTGGGGTGACGATGTTTTCCGCAAGGGTACAGGCAAAGAAGGAGGTTCGTTACTGTTTGCGTTCTCATCAGCGGCGGTCTCGGAGGGTACAGCCGGCAGGCTGGATCTGCGATGGGTGTCCACGTGATCCGGGGCTACGTCGTTCGCTAACGAACTGTCCCTCACGACCACGGCAGAATTAACGATTTGAGGCACATCGTCGGGCATATTTTTATTTGCATCACAGACCGTAGATATTGTTGGAATTTGCTGCTTAGGATTTGGCACTTGCGTCACATTATCTACAGAACTTTGTATATCGCTATTACTACAAACACTATCAGTTACCTCTAGCTCGTCAGTTCTCACTGGAATGTCTGACTTATTATCACTTACGTTAGTAGAAATAGTGGACGGCTCCCTTGAATGTTTGTCAGTTACCTTCTCGTCGTCGTTATCATTAATAACAGCACTTTTGTCCTCCGTTACAGAGTCCGCGGCGCATTTCTCACTACTTAACTCGCTAGTCACTACTGATTCCACGTTCGCCTCTTCTTCTACTTCTTCTACTACCTTTTTCTCGCTGGTTTCCGTACTTTCTATTACGCTAGTTGAGCAATTGGGATTCTTTGAGTTCTCCTCGGTATCGTTCTCGCCGACCTCGGTCTCCGCGATCGCCTCCTTCTTCGGGGTCTCGGTCTCTTCCTCCTTCTCGTTCGCGTTCGCGTCCACGTCCGTCTTCTCTTCAGCCTTCTCTTCGATTTTCTCCTCAGCCTTCTCTTCGATTTTCTCCTCAGCCTTCTCTTCAATCTTCTCTTCGGCCTTCTCTTCGGTCTTCTCTTCGGTCTTCTCTTCGCTCTTCTCTTCGGTCTTCTCTTCAGCCTTCTCTTCGGCCTTCTCTTCGGCTTTCTCCTCGACCTTCTCCTCAACTTTCTCTCCGTCAAAACCTTTGCTCTTTATATCGCCTATGTTCTCCTGATTCTCCGTGGGCGTTAAGTATGCCTCCGAGGTGTCGCTGTCGATTATTTCCCGGTCGTTCTCCAATTGTAGCTTCTCGATGTCCTTGATAGTCAAAGGTTCCGGTGTCTCACTGGCGGACGTCGTGTTCTCTGTAGCAGCAACTTCTTCTATCGTGGCAACGATCTCCGTCGTGGTTTCGTCTGTTGTCTCGGTTTTCTCGGACAGCTCCGCGGTGCTTGCATCGTCAACGTCGTTGGTGTCCGGTATTTCCGTCGCGTCCGACTTCTCTTGAACCTCCTTGCTCTCTTCAGGAACCGCAGCAGCTTCCTGAACGTCCGCTGCAGCTTCGGACACACTGGCGTCCTCTTTAACCGCGGTCTTCTCTTCTCGCTCCTCCTCTTTCTTGCTCTCTTCCGCTTGTTCAGTCGGCGCCGGTTCAACAGCGGCCTCTTCGAGTTTCTGGTCCGATGGTTCCTCCTCGTCCTCCTTTAAAACTTCCTGCACTACCACCGTGTCGGGACTAGAATCCTTGGCCTTCTGCACCTCGCTGTAGAAGTCGCTGGAGCTCTCGATGGATATTACTTCGCTGGCCTCCTGGGTGGTTGGCAGGGACACCGCCTCGCTGTTCACTTCTTCGAGGATCGTCGGCGTGTCCGTGTGGACTTCTCGCGCTGTCGTCGGTGTCTCCGGCTTGTCGCTCAATCTGGAGTCCAGAGAGATCACTTCGCTGGATTGCGGAGTGTCCATCGCCTCGCTGTGCGACTTCACGATCGCCGGGCTGCCGTCGCTCTCGGTGTTGTCTATCGAGTTCAGATCGCAACTGCAGGACTCTTCCAGGCGGTCGTTGCCTTCTGGCGCGTCGTACTCCTGGAAACAATATTTTCCTTCAGCTAAAAATCATCTATTCGTATGCTCTAACGAACGACTTCCTAGAAATATTCCAGGCGACAGAAAATATACGTTTGATATATATAATAACTCAATGACTCAATGACTAACAGAAACAGTTAACCAGTTATCCCATTGACTGCCACGCAAATTTAGCGCGTCTTGCCCTGGGTGCCACGGTTTTACTTGAAAGAAAACAAGATGCTTTATGTTACTGATATAATATTGCAATGGCATTTACATATTTTTTTTTATTGATAACCAATATCTTCTCTACACTACACAGGGTGTCCCAAAAATGTCTCGTAATTTGAAAGTGGCGGGTTCCTCAGGTCATTTGAAGCAACTTTTTCCTTTACAAAAGTTTTCTCCGAGGCACCGTTAACGAGTTATTAACGAAAAACAGTGACCAATGAGAGGCGAGCTCAGCTGGCGCGAGGCGACCGAGCCAATGAGCGGAACTGGGCTTCGTGCGCTGGTTGACTGGGCCGCCTCGCGTCAGCGGTACTCGATTCTTATTGGTCACTGTTTTTCGTTAATAACTCGTTAAGAAGATGATAAACTTGCTGTTACTGCGAGCATTGGTTTGAATAGATCAGCACATGCCGTGTGTTTATGTAAGCTGTGTTTATTAGTACATTTCGAAATGTGTGTATTAATAACCGTTGTTGACAATACATGATTGACATCGATCGAAGATTTCTTTTTATTTTTTATTTTATTTTTTAGTTGATCACTATTCCTATTCTGAATTTTTGTTATAACTTCTTAATAAAGCTCTATATAACTTATGTTTATATAACATTTTTTTCTTACTTTGTGCCATAGAATACACTAACAAAGTTTGAACATTAAAACCTGGGACACTCTGTATATTGCTCCCTACGGATCGACCGATCAGCATACGTTTTACTGCGGGTTTTACTGCCATGATGGAACTTCGCTAATAATACTAAACAATAATAAGTTTACAAATCGTTAAGTTTTTCTTAAATAAAAATGTAGTTCTTCTTCCTTTTTTCCCTCAAAATTGTGATAGAACCATTTTCCCCTGCGTTCGTCGTGTATACACGTCATCGCTTGATTTTAATTCCGCACATTGTAAGGGGTTTTATAAAACTAAATTCGCCGCTTAACAGATTAATTGCCGGACGACAGACGAACCTTGTAGTTTCTTTCGATGTGTTGCTGTTCGTGGTTCTGCTGGTTGCCCCAGGGCGACGGTTTGTTGTACCCGTTATTCCCCGAATGCTGCTGATCCCAGCCGGAGATAGTGCTGATCGGTCTCTGCTGCCTTAGCTCGGGGTCCGTGATGTTATCCGACCTCTGCCGCTCGTAATGTTCGTACATCTGGGCGAACTGAAGCTTGAATTCCTCGTAGGATACCTGAAACCGTTCGAAAATGCGTTCGAGGCACGGTAACAAAAAAAAAAGAAAAACCGATCCGTCGTCGTTCGAAAGAGGACGTTTACCTTGGAGTGCACGATGGCCAGCGTGTCCACCCACACGCGCCATCCGCCGTACTCGTGTTTGATCGCGTGGTGCAGCAGCATGCGAAACAACGAGTACACCATGTCCGAGATCTTCTGCTCCTCCGTGTTCTTCGGATGGATGTAAGCCATGGCGATCAGCCATTCCTGCCACACGGACATCTGCAGCACCGTGCGCCGGTTCTCGCGGTTGTTGTTGCAGAGCAGCGTCATGTCCGAGAGGAACAGCTTCTTCACCTCCAGCAGTTGCTCCGTTTGCTTTGATTGTCGTATCAGTGTCGCGACCACCTTCAGTATCACTGGAACGAGATCGAGAGGAGTCGGTATAGCGTTCGTTAGCGTGGATAGGAATAGTAATCAACTTGCTGTTACTGCGAGCATTGGCTTGAATAGATCAGCACATGCCGTGCGTTTGTGTAAGCCGTGTTTATTAACCCTTTGCACTCGAATGGCGACTCCGAGGCGCCACTAAAGATTGGTATACTATTTTTCAAAATCATTCCGAGACCATCAGACTCGTTTATATATTTGAAAAACTTAAAATTGCATTGTACTTGCTGCAATAGGCTCAATCTCATACGCATAAATCGCAGTAAATTATATAAAATAGAAATACTGTAGACCAGAAATCATATTTTGGATTTCGAATTCAAACAGCTTCGATGGCAAAGGGTTAATACATGTCGAAATGTATTAATAACCGTTGTTGACGATACATGATCGACATCGGTCGAAGATTTCTTTTTATTTTTTTATTTTCTTTTTAGTTGATCACTATTCCTATTCGGAAAGCGAGGAGGATCGAGATCTTCGCGGTACTTACTTGGGTTCTCTAGTCGGGAATGGGATTCCGGCTCGGGGTGCCTGGCGTAGAGGATCTGCTGGCTAATGTGCTCCGTCATGATCTGGAAGAAACGTTCGAGAAATGAATACGGGACGTGTGCGACACGGCGCTGTTTCACACGGAAAGGTCGTGCGTACCTCGTATAAAACGTTGTACGTTGGCAATGACAGTGTCTCCTCGTTCAACAACAATCGCTCGGCCAGCAGGGTGTAGAGATTGTGGGGGCTCATCACGTCGTACTTCCGCCTGCAAACGAGACCGTCTTGTATCTCTGTCTAACACCGGCAACCGGGTCGTTTAGTTACAAGGTACTTGCTCATACTTGTGTGTACTACGACTGAGGAAGAAACCTAACAACTTAAGTGCCTGCAGTCGTATTAGCTGGCTCTCCGCCGCCAGCAGTTTGAATATCGTTCTGACGCCTTGCTTCGCGTCGAAGGCGGGCACCATCGACGACGGATGCTCGGACATCAACGATATAAGCGTTTGCAACACGTCGTGCAAGTTCTCATCCTGCGGCAAGATATCATTGTCCACGTACAGTTACACGAAACCACGGATTACCTTTGTATTCGGAGCTCTCGCGCCCGAGATTCGCGCGGTCTCCGTTCAGATTACCTCGTGTATCGTCGTCAAGTAATTCAGAATGCTTTGCAGCTCGTCGTCTTTCACTCCGTTCCCGATCATGATCAGTTGTTTCAGAAATAACAAAATATAAGAGCGTATTGTCAAAATATCCTTCTGCTGAGGTCGCGGGCCATCTGCGTTTCATCGAAAGTTACATGGTTAAATGGTTTCATTTCGTGTGGATCTTAGAGCTGATGGAACTACCAAACTAGTCAAAGTGAGTCGTTTCAGATATTTCTTGTATCCCGAAGAACCGATAGGGTAATGCTCTATATTACTCGCGTGTTGTTATTATTGTTACTTCTCCGGTGTAGTAAATTGTTAACCCTTTCGTTACGGGTGCCGACTATAGTCGGCGGCGGCGAGACGACCCGTGTGCACGGGTGCCGACTATAATCGGCGTTCGCGCGACGATCCGTTAATAGAGCGACATTTTCCTTCGCTCTGTCTCGTTAAGATGACTCGTTATCATTTTCTTGACTGCTCGTGAAATGCCGGATGGCTAAAAATAGCCAAAAATTAATAAAACAACTGAATAGTCGAAGCTTTAATTTTGTTTGGAAAATAAGAACCTCTTTTCTTAAGAAGCCCTATTGTGTTAAGTATAAGTATCATTCCGTTCTCTTTGGACTATAAAAACGAGCCGCGTGGCTCGAATTCCCAAATTGTACACCTATGTTAACCCTTTCGTTACGGGTGCCGATTATAGTCGGCGGCGGCGAGACGACCCGTGTGCACGGGTGCCGACTATAATCGGCGTTCGCCCGACGATCCGTTAATAGAGCGACATTTTCCTTCGCTCTGTCTCGTTAAGATGACTCGTTATCATTTTCTTGACTGCTCGTGAAATGCCGGATGGCTAAAAATAGCCAAAAATTAATAAAACAACTGAATAGTCGAAGCTTTAATTTTGTTTGGAAAATAAGAACCTCTTTTCTTAAGAAGCCCTATTGTGTTAAGTATAAGTATCATTCCGTTCTCTTTGGACTATAAAAACGAGCCGCGTGGCTCGAATTCCCAAATTGTACACCTATGTTAACCCTTTCGTTACGGGTGCCGATTATAGTCGGCGGCGGCGAGACGACCCGTGTGCACGGGTGCCGACTATAATCGGCGTTCGCCCGACGATCCGTTAATAGAGCGACATTTTCCTTCGCTCTGTGTACCAGTTGGAAAAGAAACCGAAATAGAAGGTGCGTTGTTCGCGATGCAAACGACAAAAGACGCGAGTCCAGATACGAATGCAAAAATTGTAACGTAGGCCTCTGCGTTGACCATTGTTTTAGAATTTACCATACCGAATGAAATTACTAAGAATTATAATTTGATGTCTAACCACCTCAAATTGTACTTTTACTTGTAATAATAGCAAAATTTCTAAATACGTAGATAGCTTAACCCTTTGCACTCGAGTGGCGACTCTGAGGCACCACTAAAATCGTTACATCACGTTCCAAGACGATATTTATATTATCGAAGCTTTGATATAAAAAGATTGTTAAAAGTCTAACTGTCGTACGAGTCACAAGACTCAATTTCATACGCATGAGACGCACTTTGTCGTATAAAATGGAAATACTACACACAAGTCGGAAAAGTTAATTTAGATTTACAGTTGAAATTGCTTCGAGTGCAAAGGGTTAATATTCATACGATATACTCATTTTCATGGTTTTCATATAATACGATGAAACAGTTGTTACGTAGCTCTTGAAAAAGTGTACATACAAGACGATCACAAAGTGGAGTTGAAAGACGCAAGTCCGAACATCAAAGACTACCGACGTGCAACGTCGAGTTCAGTGGCGTCGCTCCAGCGGAGCGGGCTGCGTAAGGAAAGGGTTAACGGCGAAGTCGCCTGCAATGATCGCGTTAACGCAAGGAATCAAGAGACAAAGCGTCCGCTCGTCTTCTCATCTAGCAGACGAAGACAATGGATCGATTCCCAGGCAATCTATAATAAGAGTCCATCGAAGTATCGAGGCGAGCACGCTCGGGACTCGTCGGCGAAACACTAGGCACGAGACACTTTGACTGTTTTGGTGCTCCCGGTGTCAAAGTCACCGAGAACAGCACACTCACCGAGTCCTTTCGGCGTGATGCCACTCTTGGCTCGCGGATTGGCAACCCAGTAATAGTACTTAAGCGTGTGCACCGTTTGTAATACCGTGGAGACCCTCCTCACGTTCGAGTAGATCTGCGTGTCACTGAGAAACTCTGTGGCCAAGTACGAATAAAGCCGGGTTTGCACCGGCGCCGGCGTATATATCCAAAGAGCGGGATTAAAAAGGACGTGATCCAATAGCTGCCATGTTAGGAATGAAAAGTAAAACAACTACATCACCATAGATCTGCCTGTTCTTCGGACACACCAATCTAGCCGACTTTTATCAGTTTCCTATTTTTGCCTTTCCTGTTTTCTTTTTTTTTCTCTCGCACGATACTTCTGCCTCGATAACTCGTACGTATATGATTCCGTCGTCGTCGGGACGCGGCTCGGGTCGGGCACCATGTTGCAAATTTCTGCTTCGCACGAGCGAGCGAGTTCCGATTTCAGGGATTCCAAATGGGACGGATAACAATCACGGTCTGTGCAAGGGTGGCTGTATAACACGTGGAAAGCACACGGAGTGGGGGGGTGGTTCAAGGGTCTCAAGAATCGAAAGTGCCGATCGAAGTCGCCGTACGAAAAGGGTTCCACAGATTTGTTGGAGGGACGTGTGCCGCATGCATCGGAATCAATACCGAGGTCCGGGCAAATTTTTTGGAAGTCGACACGGTCGTCGGACCGGCGTGACAAGGACATCGCGGAATTTGATCGTCGAACGGACCACTGGACACGTCCGCACTTCTTCCTTCATTTCATGATGTAGCTGCGAACGAGGGGGACGCGGCCGAATATAGTCGATTGTGTGCGCATAGAGAGAAAATAATCATAAGTAGCTTCCTCGAAGGCGGTAGGCGTCGTCGATTGTATGAATACGAAGCGCAACGTTACAGATTCCAGTAATCGAACAAATAAAAGAACAAATTAGTGTCGCTTCTCGTTTCTCTCGGAACATAGGAAACTCAGAAAGATTTGACGCAGCGAAGAAAAAGAGAGAGAGAGAGAGAGAGTGAGAAATACAGAGAAAGAGAGAGAGAAAGAGAGAGAGAATTTGTCAGCGTTGCAAAAATAATATTCGGAAGTTCTCACGTGGAAGCAATATACAGTAATGTCTCCCTTACTGACGCTCAGATTGTCCACGAAAATGGATAATTTGGGAAGAGGAGCCTTGCGAATTCGAGCCTTGCGAATTCGAGCGTTGCGAATTCGAGCTTTGCGAATTCGAGCGTTGCAAATTCAAGCCTTGCGAATTCGAGCCTTGCGAATTCGAGACTTGCGAATTCGAGACTTGCGAATTCGAGCCTTGCGAATTCGAGCCTTGAGAATTCGAGCCTTGCGAATTCGAGACTTGACAATTCGAGCCTTGCGAATTCGAGACTTGCGAATTCGAGCCTTGCGAATTCAAGCCTTGCGAATTCGAGTTTTGCGAATTCAAGCCTTGCGAATTCAAGCCTTGCGAATTCGAGCCTTGCGAATTCAAGCCTTGTGAATTCGAGCCTTGCGACTCGTTTTTATAATTACCGATTCTCAACAATTATAAAAGCGAGCCGCAAGGCTCGGACAATCGTATCGCCTCTTCCCAAATTGCCAATTTTCGCGGACAATCCGAGCGTCGGTAAGGGAGACATCACACGTAGTGTGAAACAAATGAAAAAATGAAATGTTCTTGCGTAGCCATATTATGAAATCAGGAAGCCTAAAAGTCGGTAGATTGCATGCGATCCAAAGATTCGTTTGTAAACATAATATTGTCCATGAAAGAGTATGTAACCATGCTGAACGGATCAAACGGTGGGAAATCAAAGTGTATACACATAGACTAGAAACAGCGCGCAGCATTCACAGCGTTTGCTAGCAGATCGTCGCGTTCAAGCTACTGCAACGAATATTATAGAGAGGTATAAACGTAGGGAACTGTACACATGTTACGGTAGTACGTTCGCGTTTCGGATAACTTGCGCTCATGCTGCTCATATATACGGGCTGGCTCGGGATTCGGGGATGGTAGGCGTTCGGTAGCATGGTCGGGCGAAAACCATAAATGCGTCACAATATACGGGGGGGATTCGGTTTGTTTCGGGGTGATTTGCTAGATGATTCAATTACGTTCTTGCTAGGACATCTTCGTGTGGACACACTACTTTCGGGGATACAAACCCTAATCACCTAATTCGGCTTTCTAAGCACACCTCTCGACACATCGAGTTTTGTTCCTCTAAATTGTACAATCTCCTAATGTTGGGATCTATGTTGTGTTTTCGTTGAGTAGCTGTTAAGATAATTCGCATCGTCGTTGGAGAGACGCGAAAGTTCTACGCGAATTTTATCGCAGCTGTGACAAGGGCTGACACTTTTTCAAACGCGGTAACCTTTTTAGAGTTGAATTTTCTTTCAGATGGTAGATCGATCAGTCTACTAGACCGTAGCTAGAATGCTTTTTGAAAATTTTGCTATTGCCTAGAATGACAAAAGAAAATAAAGATCTCTCGTTTTTTCTTTCTATTAATTTTATTAATTTAAAAAATGTGTTTTGTAGATCTCTTGTAGATCTTTTTGTGGAAGTTGTATGCATGTTAAAAATTTCGCTGAAATCGTTTGGCCTTGGTGCGAGCTGCGAACAATTAAAGATTGCAAAAATCATAGCTTTGTCCCGATTTTTAACACTTTCGACCAACAAGTGTGAGAAATTTGCAGTTTTTACCATATTTTAACGCTTGTAACTTGACTTTGCGTTAACCGATTTCGATGAAATATTTTAGCATCTATATAACTCACCGAGATCTACAAAAATGCATTTTTTAAATCTTCGTTATATGCTCGGATAAAAAAGTTGAAAAACGAGAGTCTTTTATTTTGTTTCGTAAAATAGTTTAGTCGTTGTCTAGTACAATAGTCCCTCTATCACCTAAAAAAGCATTCAAACCGTTTACTCTAGTTTCAAAAAAGTTATTGTGTTTTAAAAAGTGTCCGAATATTAATGGGAGTCGCTGCATGTATACGTCATCCGTATATTAAGGGTGAAAATGGCTCCCCGTGTTAAGCCACATTTGATACGTTTCGTAACACCGATATGATTTACATGCATTTAAGTATATTAAATGTCGCTCGCAACCCCGGTCCGGAAGATTATCTTCATCCCCTGAATGTGAACGAAGTTAACGATATTAAATATGGTTAGTATATTACTATTTTTCAATATATATATACTAACCATATTTATATTTTATATTTTTTATATTTATACTAAGTATTATATATATATTATACTTATACTTAATATACTTCTTAATATATATATTATAGCAATAATTGTTGCTATTTTCGCCAAAATAGCCAATTTTCGTTCCCAAATATGAACAATGACCTTTAAAAAATAAGTATCGAACACTTTTTCGAGTTTCACGTTCTCTGTGAATTTCACTTGGCTAACATCTCTTCGCCAGTTTCACGATTCTTGTCTCCAAAGATGTTAAAGATCCGCAATTTCCATTTTATCATCGATTATCAATTTCGTCGAAAATTACATCGCGCAAGATGAAGACGGAATTATCTTAACAGCATCGATCGATAAAGTATACAGGGGTTTACGTACGATCTATTGTAACTAATTCAACGATTGTTGATCTTGTCGCCAGCAAAATGTTCGGTATCATGATCTCGTTCTACGTTCGTGCAAACTATAGCTCCCCCGACTCGACCTTCGTAAACCTACGTCTATACCACTGACTCCTACGTTCTATCTGCTGTTCGGGTAACTTTGTTCTAGTCATTATAGTTTCTAATTAGTATTTTCGACCGAACTCATGACTAAATGGATACCTGTTTCAATAACAAGTCGCTGTTCGCGCTCAGGCAGGTCACCAGATGCTTCGTCAGCTCGAGGAAGGACGCGAGGACCTCGGTTGTCAAATGGTCTCTGCTTGCTCTTTGCAGCATGTAGCTAATTACCAAAAATCCTCTGTTTTGTACCATGTGTTGCTGCACTGTTTGCGAGCTCTCCACCAGGTCGCAAATAAACCCCAACAGTTTCGAACTGAAAATCGAAGGCCAATATTAGACTCTATTGTCGCTTAATTGCAATCCGAACGATCTTTTCGGACTCCTCAAGTCACAGTACAATTAAATCGTTGCGATACTTTTACGAACTTTTTTATTGATTATTGGGTTGGCAACTAAGTAATAGCCGATTTCAGTTATAGATGTCTCTCACTCCCATTTTTATGATATCCGTAAATGTTATATTATAAAATTATTATTATTATTATTATTAATAATATTATTATTATTATTATTATTATGTTATTTTTTATTATCCGTGAATGTTAGCAACTGGACAAATTGAATGCAGCGGTCAAGGAAAAGCGACCAGAATTGGTCAATCGTAAAGGTGTCATTTTCCAGCAGGACAATGCTAGGCCGCACACGTCTTTGTCCACTCGGCAAAAATTGATGGATATTGGTTGGGAATCGATGTTACACCCACCATATAGCCCCGATCTCGCGCCATCGGATTACCACTTATTTCGATCCCTGGACAACTCCCTTCGTGGTAAAACTTTTAACGATGATGACGCTGTAAAATCTCACTTAACTCAGTTTTTGGCCGAAAAGGATCAGACTTTCTACGAGCGTGGAATTTTCAAGTTGTCGGAGAGACGGCAAAAGGTCATCGAACAAAATGGAAAATACATTACAGATTAAACTTCGTTCCAAGTAAAAAAATTTTTTATTTCATTGAACAAATCGGCAATTACTTAGTTGCCAACCCAATAATACTTTTACGAACCTTTTTATTGCTTAAATTGTAGATCATTACTCTAAATTCTTTTCAAGAACTTTCAACGAATTTACAAATATTTAACCGAATTTGAGACACGATTATACACATGATAATACGTGGAATAATATTTATTTCAAGAGCGAAGTAAGACATTTTTTTCTGAAAGTTCATCGATTGCAGAGTTGAGCAAAATTTTATTCGGACGACGATTTAGAGATGAAGGCTAACGAATAAAATTGTATTCGACGCTATCGAATAAATATACAGTTGATTAAAAATTTATCTAGATCAAAATTTATCCGAATAAGAATTAATTCGAATAAGATTTTATTCGAACATGTGTTCACTCGAACAAGATTTTCTTCGTACAGCAATTCATACGAAGAATAATCAATTCGAATATAAAGTTTATCGATCATTTCTTCCATATTCCTTTTTTCTTGGACAAATATTTCTTCGAAGCAATTCTGATCAAAAGTATCGGATCGTTCGAAAAGTTGTTTCGTTTCTCAAAAACTTCGTACTGGTGTTTAAAAGGCGCTCGATTCAGTATTTTGCGAATAAAAAACAAGACCTTCTACTAGCACAAGATTTCAAAGCTACCGGAAAAATGTCAAAAGTCTTTCTTACGCTAAACGTTAACAAGTCGTCTTTCATTTTCTTGCGAACGAACGAAACAACTTTCCGAACTTTCCCAATACACGCGACTGTGATTAATCTTCGATTAATTTCTTTCCGACCCCGAGAGAGGCTAGATACTAGATTTCTCGCTCGGATATTAACTTCGTGGACCGCGGATAGATATTGAAGCCGAAGAATTACCATAACGCTGGATCTCGTTTCACATCGTTCGGCGCTATGCAATCGTAAGGCATATCTAGCTGCGAGAACAAAGGGAATAATACTTGAATGCCGCCAATCGAGTTCAGCGTGCTGTGAATGGAATGCGTGATGACAGCTTTGACATCCTGCAAAAGGATATAACAGAGAGGAATTTGATTAGTTCTTTTTGATAACGCTGGTTCCGCCGCGGCGGTCTCAAAGCGCGATATATGTATATATACGTATATATCCGTACCTGCAGCATGAGGGCATGCGGTGTATGTACAAAATAGGAGACGTTGCCTTTCGGTGCACTTTGCAGGCAAAGTTGAGAGTCCGTAGCCACCGGGTTGTACATGAACACAATCGCGTTTGACAGCTTGCCATCGTAAAGCACCTACAAAGTAACGGGGTTAGCGGTGTTCCTGGAACTCTTCTGCAATTATTCCATCACCGTGGATCGCGATTAACCTTTGACAGTTCACAGCGCGCGTTATTCTCAAGAATGAACCGCGCGGTCTTTCGCGCGTTTCCGCTGAATCGAACGAACGAAACTCGACGAAGCGCGCAAGTTTAATTTATCGCGTGAAAAAAGAATGATTCTCACCGATGAATATTTTCCATCGTGATTCAAGCTTACGCAGAAAATGTACAGAAAAAATTAAGCTCGCATAAAATATCGACAAGCCGTGTTTTTGTTCATTTTTTCAGCTCGTAGAACTGCGAACTTCGAGGGTTAATTCGCGACCATCGGGAACAATGGTTGCGTATTAAGTGACAAACGTGCCGCCACACATAAATAATAATGTCAAAGTGTTCGGTTAGTATAAAATATTCTACGGGCAGGTCTTCGGGGAGGCGTTCGGTGTCCGTAAACGCCCGTCTGAAGTCCGTTTACCCGCTCGGACGGCGTCCATCGCTACGAGCAACCGAACGAAATCACACACATCGAGAAACGCAATCCTCTAAACAATCTACGAGTACAAAATACTGTCACACGAAATCTTGCTACGTTTAATGTCACAACGAAACTAAAAAGAAAAGAAAAAACAAGAAAAAAACGGGGCTAACTATCTAGCAAAAAGTCAGCAAAGAAACTGGAAACTGGTACGTGATTAACGACGAAGAGAAGCGTCGGACGAGCAACAACGAAAACTCGTGGCTATGGGAGAAAAAAATGAAAAATGAAAGAAACGGCTTCACGTTGAGAGCGAGGGTACGAAATGAAAAAAAAATGTCACAGCAAAAAGCACAGTCACTCCAGTCGTCGGGATATACAAACTTATGGGTGCCGCAGTAACGTCCAAAGTAAACTCATTGTTCTGGGAAAAGACATTTCGTAGTGATGGTCGATTTATTCGGGTAATTACCTCTGATGGGTCTCGAACGCAGTAACAGAGTGATTAAACAATGTGCAAATCAAATGTAAACGGGAGGAAAAAGAAAATAAAAATGCTTACAGTTTGCATACTTTGGTCCACCATGCTCGTGAGCTCCGGCTCATCACTCACCCTTTTGTGATTGTCAGGCAGATTCAGGTAACACTCGTTGTCAAAACGAAACTGACTCTGCGCGCCGAACAAACGCAAACAAGATGAATGGTTAACAGCGCTCGCAGAAATTCAAGTCGTAATTATTCGGGCCGCGAGACAGAGAGAGAGAGAGAGATAGAGAGCACGAGAGAGAGAGAGAGAGAGAGAGTGCGAGAGAGAGGAGAAAGAGGGAGAGAGAGGAGAGCGAGAGAGAAGAGCGCGAGAGATATAGAATGCAAGAGAGAGAGAGAGAGAGAGAGCGCGCGCGAGAGAGAGAGCGCGAGAGAGATAGAACGCGAGAGAGAGAGAAAGCGCGCGAGAGAGAGCGCGAGAGAGAGGAGAAAGAGGGAGAGAGAGGAGAGCGAGAGAGAGGAGAAAGAGGGAGAGGGAGGAGAGCGAGAGAGAGGAGAAAGAGCGAGAGAGAGAAAGAGTGAGAGAGAGAAAGAGCGAGAGAGAGAAAGAGCGAGAGAGAGAAAGAGCGAGAGAGAGAGATCTCGATTCTGCGGCGGGTCGCCGTGAAATTTTGAAAGCAATTCGTGCCGCGCGCGATTTGCATTTTCACGCGAAACACAAAAATACATTTTCTAATTATGCTTTCGCCGTGGCGGCAAGTTCCGCGGAAACGATATCCACGGCAACTTGGGGCAACGTGAATCACGCTGTTCACCGTAATCGCGGCAAACTGAATTTCCGTGGTACCGCGTAGATTCCGCGGCAACCCGACGTTAATCCGGAGATTCGTGTAAACGTTGTTTCTACCTTATATCCAGGCCCCAGTCTATGCATAGCACATATCTGATGCGTAGTCAGAGCTTCGCTGAACAGATAAATCGCGCTCATTTGTCCGCAGAACACCCGCTCCTCGTCCAGTTCCGGTGTTGCTCCGATGTAACATTTGTCGAAAGGCTGCGGAGGAAAGTTCGCGGCGTTAATATTCGCGCGACGTTTCGCCAACGCGAACGTGAAAATCGTCGCCGCGGCCCCGCCGGGGTTTCTCGTTTTACCCGTAAACGGGCTTTCAATCGCGAGAAGAACACCCGATCGGCGCCGAAACGACGAATACATGAATCAACTTACATCGTTTGTCGAAACGAACCACGCCATTTCGGTGCTCGAAGCCAATTGACCGTTGACCAAACATTTAATTTCGCTCTTCGTCCACCTATTATATATGTACACTACGGCGATCATATACCACTGTGGAAACAAACATTTGCGGTTACGTTGATATTCTCTCTCTCTGGGTGCATTGTAATTTTAACGATAGTTTCGAGAAAGAAAGATTGGTTGAAAAGATCTGTCCGTCGCGGAGAGACAGCGTAAAATTTGAGGCTGCATTTTGGATCGAACCGGTGCTTTTCATTTTCTTCATCGAACTGATATACTTGAATTTTATTTCTCTTAACTTGAAAGTACTTTTTGCCAGAATTTTCAAAGAAACAGATAATAATCATTCGCGTAGAGTATACATTCTATACAGGCTGTCACGTCTAACTGAGAACAGTGAAATATCTCGGAATAGATCGAAGCTACGAAAACAATGTTTACACAAAAATATATAATATAAATAACTTTATATTATTATTATTATTTTTATTATTTTTATTTTATATTATTATTTTATATTATTATATTATTATTTAATATATATAATATAAATAATTTTTTTATCGACATAACGGTGAATGATATTTCAAGATCAAGTTGATTTGTTTAAATAGGACTACACATTTTGTTAGTCATATTACGATACCTGGTTTCAATGCGAACACAATGTTGTATGCACTTCTTTCAGATGATCATAAATTAGAAGCAATTAAATCTGCAACAGCGGGAGGTCGATCAACTTGACCTTAAAATATCATTCACCATTATGTTAATAAAAAAATTATTGATACTACCTAAGACATCACTTTATACCGAACACTTTTTGTACAAACATTATTTTCGTAGCTTCGATCTATTCCGAGATATTTCACTGTTCTCAGTGTTAGACGTAACACCCTGTACATTGTTGTAATAAAAATGAAGCGGAGGGCTCGATATACTTTTTTCAAGAGTAAATAATAAAGATACGCGCGGAGAGAAAAGAGAGCCAGCTTTTCCGGTCGGCAAAATATTGTGTGTACCTTGCGCGGAGGAAGTTAAACATGGCTCCAGACTGTTATCTGAGTTACGAACGATTTATTTAGCCACTGACAATAACGTTCGGCGAAACGAATAACGCGGATCCGTGAACCGGGAGCCAGGTTTTCTCATCGACGATAAAGAGAGAGAGAGAGAGAGAGAGAGAGAGAGAGAGAGAGAGAGAGAGAGAAAATAAGATGAAATGTGATACAATAAAAATGAAATATTCTGCGCGATTTTCATAAAGTCGAGACGTACCTTGCGCGGTTGAAATTCATATTTGACACAATGCTGGAAGCCCTTGCCCTTTACTTTCATCGAGGTGAGGACCAGGCAGTTCCCTACGAAATGTGCAGAGTATCCCACTCCTTTGCTAGTTTTAAAACTGGAAATAAGAAAACGACGAAATGTATCATTGCGCGCGTATTTCTCGATTTCCGCGAAGAAGAAGCGAGTTCTCGCGAGAGAGAGAGAGAGAGAGAGAGAGCACGAGAGAGAGAGCGCGAGAGAGAGAACGCGAGAGAGAGAGCGTGAGAGAGAGCGCGAGAGAGAGAGCGCGAGAGAGAGCGCGAGAGAGAGCGCGAGAGAGAGAGCGCGAGAGAGAGAGAGCGCGCGAGAGAGGGCACGAGAGAGAGAGAGCGCGAGAGAGGGCACGAGAGAGATCGCGAGAGAAAGAGCCGTTTCCAACGCGGCGCGTTGCGTCGCGTCGATTCGACTCGCCATGTTTTCGGAAAACATAATCGACGGTGAAATGTTGCCTTTATCCGGAACGAATGCAGCCACCACCGTTCGTTCGATGCTTTTTCTGTTTCCCAGGCGGGGGAGCCGGCGATGTATTTTGCAAATGGGAATAACGGTTGTCAACTGTATGGAAATCGAATTGTTTCCGCGTGAAAGAACGTGATTAAATTGGTGTGTAGGACGCGACGCGCTCCAATAGGAGCTTTTTCGCGTGAACTACGAACAAAGCTGCGTTTAATCAAATCCGATACGTTCGATCGGAGGGACCCGGTGGGACCGGGCTTCACGCATTTTTTTGCTTCTCGTTTTCGTTCGCCCGGGGTCGGTGGTCGGTCACGTAAGTGTTATAGCGAAATCGCCGACGCAGGTCTCACCGGCGACAGTATTAATTGACAGCACGCGCGGGAAAGTCTGTTAACGCTGAACCCGGCGAGCAACGAAGTATGTCTGACGCGCGTTGTTTCATACAAATTACGGGACCGAATTTATTCGGACATCTTGCTATTTTTATCGTGCTCGAATCAACGCTAGAACTACCAGTCGAAATGACTGATTTCTGATCTTTTCTTCCACGGTTCCTCGTGTCGCGAAAATATTTCTCGAAGAAACATTTAGGTATAATTATATAATTGTATACTTCCTTATTGAAGTATACAGCGTGTCGTAAAATGATGGCATCTCCGGGAAATTAGAGATTCCTGAGGTCATTTGAAGCAACTTTTTCCTTTACAAAAATGTTCTCCGAGGCATCGTGAACGAGTTATTAACGAAAAAACACTGGCCAATGAGAGGCGAGCTCGGCAGCCGCGCGAGGGCCAGTTCCGCTCATTGGCTCGGCCGCTTAGCGCCAGCCGAGTGCTCGCCTGCTATTGGTCGCTGTTTTTCGTTAATAACTCGTAAACAAAGCGGCGGATTGCATTTTCGCTAAGGAAAAAGTTACTTCAAATAATCTCAAGAACCTCTCGTTTCCCGGAAATACCATAATTTTGAGATACCCTGTATATTATAGTATAAATCATACACAGTTCAAAAATAAATTTTTGCATTGCTATATAAAACGATATACATTATTCGCGTTTAGGGTTCGGTAGTTCTAGCGTTAATAAACCAAATCGATCATTTATTACGAAAGACTCTTTAGAATTTCAATTTTAAAATAACAATTGAACAATGCGATCGAATATGAAAATTCGCGTGAGCTATGATACATAGAATTTTACACGACTCTTGTTGGCACGAGCAGAGACGACACGCGGCCAGCGTCGGCGAGGCCCGTGCCGGTAATTTCAATCTAACCGGCTACGTAAACGATTCTTTAAGGTAGCAGGCCACTCGGGTCGAGGTGTCGAGGAGAGGGTTCCCGCGAGGGTGCTCGACGTAAAGAACACTTACCAGTAGAGGTATGGCTTTTCGCGTTCGATATTAACGGAGTTGATGGGGTCCAATCGGAACCACGTTGTGAACGTGAAGCCATTCTCGTGGGGCCACCTCGCGAGCGGCGGCAGGACGATTGCCTGCGAAGTTGCAATAAACAGACAGAAAATTAAAACAATGCATAAAGCTACACGTACGGCGATATCGGTTATTTAATATTGAAAAGTTTCAACCGGTCTCTCTATCTGCGAATGAATTTCAGATAACGTTGTGCTCCTGCTTTGTGTTGTCGCGACGTCATTGTGACAATTCCAACGAGACTTTAACAAATGTAAAATTTTCATTCGATTGTCCCCGGTTCGAATGCAATGGAATTGTTTTGCTACCATTATTTAAATTCCGCGGTAAATGTAGTTCCGTGACGAACGCGCGAGTAATTATATTTAGTGTAATAAATTATAAGAAATCGCAAGAGTGCAGTGGCTCCGAAAAGTATTTGTGCACGTTCGATAAGGTGTAACCTTTTAAAACGGGACTGGATTACTTGAATTTTTTGAAGACGTTAGAGGAACCTTTTTCTTTGATTTTGTTATTATTTGGAATGACAGAGGTAATGGAAAACGCGCGTTTTTTAACTTTTTCATCAGAACTCACGACGAAAATTTAAACAATACTGTTGCGAATCACTCCGTTTCTCTCGCGTCGCGGCATTTTATTTACAATATATAAACTATAGCACAACTTGATACAAATGTATCTCAGATCTTTCAATTTGAAATGTTGCTCGTTCGACTTTCGTGGCAACTCCTATCTTCTATTATTTTATTATATAATAATATTATATAATATTATATATATATATAATAATTATAATAATATTATATAATATATATATATATATATATAATAATTATAATAATATTATATAATATTATAATATAATATATATAATAAAATATAATATTATATAATAATATATATAATATTCTATCATTTTTTATTATTCTATTATCACAACAGGGCAGTTTCACATTACAGCGACTTGATTTGGACATGTCGCCGTAACAATACGTTTTGTAGGTCTCCGCAACGTACACGCGCGTTGAGAATTTCATCGATATCTGTTTCAATTGATCAAAATGCTTATAACAGTGACATACGATTTTCCATCATCCGATCGAAGATACCGAGATAATAAGAAATTCGAAAAGATTTAACCCTTTGCGGATGAAGCCGCTCGACGGGCGAGCGTCGCTGTGGACGACCGGTATTGGATATAAAATAAAAATGCTATAAGATATAATGTTATAAATATGTGGAAAACTTTGCTGGTTTCTCTGGTAGTGACACTGAAAGACTGACTCGACAAACTGAAATTTTGTTAAATTAATAAATTTATAAATTAAAAAATTTATATTAATTTAAATTAAATTAATAAATTTATATTAATAATTAATAAATTAATAAAAAAAACGGTCAAAGAATTGGGCGGCTATTTGCCGACATTCGTCCGCAAAAGGTTAAAACTTTCCCGACAAGAGTTATATCCGACGATAGCCGAAAAATATTCAATGCTCGAAAAATTGACGGATCGCAAAGCTAATATCACGTTTTGCCAAACGACTGCGGCGTTTCGCGCCTCGACAACCACGCCGATAAAGAACTCCCAAATAATTTCGAAGCATTCGCCGGCCGAAGAATCAATACGTCATTCGATTCGACGGATTAAGTGCAAGTGGAAGTTTCGCGGAACAAGGCGAATTCTCTTATCGAAAGTTTGATAGAGTTTAGAACCGAGCTACGTCGTCGTTCGACCGTGGCCGGGAACGGACGAATCCAGGTGGAACGGGGATGATGAAAAACCGTGCACAAACTCAAAGACCGAGAGACCAAGATCGCGAGAGGAGAACGGTGGAAAAAAAGAAGTTGACCTACCGATCCTTTCCTGCCAGGAAAACTGAAAAACACGTCGGGTCCGTTTCGTTGCGGCATTTGGCGGAGAACGTTCAACAGCTTCGCCGAATGCCGTGGCTGTTGTTGACGGGAACAGAGAAAAAAACGTAATGAAGACTGGTACATCGAGCAGCCATTGGCGTGCTTCGATTTTATGGTCGTTTGAATTCAGGAAGTACGTGGCAGTACAATCTGGATTTCTCGATGCTGTATACCGTATAGTTATAATCTGGATATATTTTGTACTCGATCGATTGATTTATTTTTTTATATTTCATTTTTATCTCATCTTTATTTTATTTTATTTTTCCAGATTTGTTGTCTGGATTTTTCTGCTTTTATCTTCGGCAAAGTGTTATATTAGAATCTTTTTAATGAAGAAGGTAATATCATTTATCTATCTATCGATCGATTTATTTTCTTATATTTCATTTTTATCTCATCTTTATTTTATTTTATTTTTCCAAATTTGTTGTCCGGATTTATCTACTTTTATCTTCGGCAAAGTGTTATATTAGAATATTCTTAATGAAAAAGATAATATCATTTATCTATCTATCGATTGATTTATTTTCTTATATTTCATTTTTATCTCATTTTTATTTTATTTTATTTTTCCAAATTCGTTGTCCGGATTTATCTACTTTTATCTTCGGCAAAGTGTTATATTAGAATCTTCTTAATGAGAAAGATAATATCATTTATCTATTTATTAATAATACATTTATCAATATTATTTATTTATTTATTTATTTATACTTAATACTAGAATCTTCTTAAAAATTACAATACATTACATTCTGCAGCAGCAAGACTAAACGAATTTCACGTTGTCCATCTTATAATATTATTCATTATATACATTCTAATTATACATTCTACTCCTTTTCATCACGCAGCATATTATTTCCATGCATGGTAAATAGTCCGCGAGTCCATCCACACCATTATAACGTACGTTCATAAAACTGAATAACATTTTCGTCTAAAGATCTTTTAATCACCGAGCGGTCGTCCGCCGTTACAGAAATATGACCACGGAAATACAAAAAATCCAGATTGCATTACCGCGACGCTTCTCTCATTAGTCGACCGCGGATCTTCGTGCAAAATAACGAGCAAGTTCTTTCCGAAGTAATTTGAACAAATCGAGATTACTAATCAACGCATTCGCAGTTTCGTTTAATCATTATGTTACATTTCAGCTATACATCCGTTCCGCCTATGAACGCACGAGAAATCCGCTGTCCACTAATTAGCATCGTCGAAAAGTGATTTCCTCGTCCGTCTCGTTCCTTACCCATTTCCCTTTGACAGCTTTCATAGCGCCGAACAAAAGCTTTAATTCCTTCACCGTGATGCTGTAGCTGGCCAACACTCCGAGCATATCGATCAGCAAATCTGCGGACGGCGGAGGAGGCGGCGATTACTTTCGCGGGTGGGACACGGCAGGGTGCTGGTTGTACAGCGCCGTTCGGGATTACAATCGCGACGATAAGGACTTACCTGCGACAACGGTTTCCGCGCGCGACAGCCGGTGCAACACGTGTTCTATGAGGCTTACGTCCGTACACGCCTGCAAATTCCGCACGCTTTTCCTCAGGATCGCGATGAAGACGCTCCATATTTCGGCCTGGAACAGAAACCGGTCGAACACGTCAGCCAAGCAAGCCTGTGTACGCGAAAAATGCAGATATTAAAGGGACGATCATCGGGGGTCGATGGGACCCACGGTCGATGGGACACGTGTAATTTTTGTCAGAGCGTTGTCGAGGACAACCGCCGGGAATTTTATTAAATTCCACGGGGCGCGCCGCACCCATCCGCGGTTTTATAGATATTTCGACGGAGCGCGCGGGCTTTTGATTTCTTCCGGCGAAAGAACAATGCAGCGCAAGCTCGCCGGGACCGCGATCATTTCGGAATTCTGACGCGAAACGTTCGCCTTGTTAACCCTTTGCGCTCGAGTCGCGACTCCGAGGCGACGCTAAAAATTGCTATACTGTTTTAGAAGAATTTTCACATTATTAAATTTCTCTATACAGTAATGTCTCTCTAATTGACGCTCGGATTGGCCAGAAAAACGGACAATTTCGATCCTCGTGGTTCATTCTTATAGCTACGAATTGTCGACAACTATAGAAAACGAGCTGCGAGGCTCGAATAATTGTATCTCCGGTTCACAAATTGTACATTTTTCTGCGCAATCCGAGCGCCAGTTAGGGAGATATTACTGTATTCGATAAATTGTCAAATAATAACAAGAGAAATTTTTTATAAGCATATGCCTTCGATTTTATATGTATAAAACAAAAGCATGGGTATCAAATTGAAACGCTGTAGGCTGAAACAAATGTCTTCATTTCGGAATTAAAATAGTCTCGATTTCAAAGGGTTAATTCCGTCGAGAAAGACGCGATATATTTCGTTCCATTCGCGCAGGCATTTTATAATTTATCCCGATTTACTCGCGATTGTAACGTATGCTTCAGGAATTCCCCGTCGAATTAAAATACAATTAAAGTTCGCGTACGTTGCAAAATGATAGAAACAGCAGAAGCTCGCCGGGACCGCGATCATTTCGGAATTCTGACGCGAAACGTTCGCCTTGTTAACCCTTTGCGCTCGAGTCGCGACTCCGAGGCGACGCTAAAAATTGCTATACTGTTTTAGAAGAATTTTCACGTTATTAAATTTCTCTCTGTACAGCAATGTCTCTCTAATTGACGCTGGGATTGGCCAGAAAAATGGACAATTTCGGAAGAGAAGATACGATTATTCGATCCTCGTGGATCATTCTTATAGCTACGAATTGCCGACAACTATAAAAAACGAGCTGCGAGGCTCGAATGATTGTATTTCCAGTTCGCGAATTGTACATTTTTCTGCGCAATCCGAACGTCAGTTAGAGAGATATTAAATCTAGTCAAATAATAATAAGAGAAATTTTTTATAAGCATATGCCTTCGATTTCATATGTATGAAATAAAAGCATGGGTATCAAATTGAAACACTGCAGGCTGCAACAAACGTCTTCATTTCGGAAATAAAAGTTATTATTATTAAATTAAAAAGACACGATATATTTCGTTCCATTCGCGCAGGCATTTTATAATGAATCCCGATTTACTCGGTGATTGTAACGAATGCTTCAGGAATTCCCCGTCGAATTAAAATACAATTAAAGTTCGCGCACGTCGCAAAACGATAGAAGAATGTTCTCGTTCCGTTACATTAGTCCCTGCGAGAGCCGCGTAACTAATTTAAACATCGTTCGTTTATATCCGAACCGAGTTGGCTCTCTTCGCGATCTCGCAGAATTTTTCATATATTTTCCAACTAACAAGCTTTTCGAACGCAATTCCCGTAACTTAGCTGCCGCTATTAACTTCGTTCTCAAACACACTCTACATTAGGTTTTTCCCAAGGAGCCTGAGTGTCAGAGCTCGCCCGGCTACCGGCAAATTGTAATTACTCTCCTAATTAGTCGATGCATTAGCGACGGCGCGAACTTGCGACGGACTTGCAGCGCACGGTGCAGCTAATAGTCAAACTATTATACCGGTGGCGATAGTTATTCAAGCGAATCAAAAGTTGTTTAAGCTAGAGGAGAGGGCAAGAGAGAGAGAGAGAGAGAGAGAGAGAGAGAGATCGGAGATCGAAAGCGAACCAACAGACGAAACTTGTGTAATCCGTCGCTAATATGTGGCTGAAGTCAGGAAGCGAAATAACTGCGTCGTGATCGGGGGTGGCAGGCGGGGGTGGATAAAGAGAAAGCGAATTATCCGCAGGATATCGCGCAAATCCCGAGAATGCTGACGAAATTCTCCGGCGAGGTATTCGCGCAGCTCGCAACCGAACTTTTCGCGTGCGGAAGTTATGGAATCCGGATAACGGAATATAAAGGTTTTTCCCGGGTGAATGGATGCGCACCCGGGTCCCTAGTCAGAGGGACGCCGTGATTAAACTTAATCCCCGAAAGGGAATTTTGCGTTGGGTATTTGGATCTTGAGCCATCCCGGGATCCGGTCTCATTGAGTGAAGCAGACGTCGGGGATAAATCAGCTCAAAATTTAGCTCCGGTTTCACGCGGGATAATTCCATTGCGCTAGCTACGGGGGTTACGTTCCTCGGGAAATTGGACCCGGCTGATCTGACGGCGACGCTCCTTCGATTTGCAACAATGCAGAAACCACCTACGTTTCACTTCGACGCCATCGGGTCGGTCTACTTAAACCGCGCGCGCACGCTCTGCTCGCTCCGAGCGCAGTAAATCCTTGTAGACTTATATCGGCGAAGTGCTGATAGATAGCGCACACTGTATTTCCCGTATAATCCTGCAGGATGTTATTCTACCAGATGCAAAGGTGAACGATGGATTTTCTGATTTATGTTTCCGTATGCGTGAACGTCGGATTTGAAACTGGGGAGCGATATCGTGCATGAAAATATTGTTAATGCGTTGCGGATGGTCGTGAGATTTTTAACCCTTTATTTTATAAACACGTCTAAGAGACGTGGTAAAAAATCGGGCCAGAAATGATTATCACGTATGAGAGACGTGGTCATAGAATCTGGCCAGACATGATTATCACGTCTGAGAGGCGTGGTGAAAAAGACGAGCCAGAAATGCTTATCACGTCTAAGAGACGTGGTCAAAAATCGAGCCAGAAATGATTATCACGTCTCAAAGACATGGTAAAAAATTCGGGCCGGAAATGATTATCACGCCTGAGAGACGTGGTCAAAAATCGAGCCAGAAATGATTATCACGCCTGAGAGACGTGGTCAAAAAATCGAGCCAGAAGTGATTATCACGTCTAGGAGACGTGGTAAAAAAGTCGAGTCAGAAATGAGAGCCGTGGTGCGTCAGTCGGGCCAAATATAAACACAACTAGTTAGGCTCGTGCTAGATTAGGGAATACGTGTTTTGTGCTTTCTTGTTTTTCATCGCTTAATTGTTTTATCAGTAGTTACAGGATGTGTGTGTGGGGTGGGGGGCGCAGGAACCAGCTTGTGGCCAACCTTGTTGTTTATGCTTGAACTTAAATCGTAGGGCAAGAGATTAAATACAGAAGTTATCGTGCGCTTCGCAGGTTTTCGCACGCCGCAACTGCATAAAGGTACGCGCCCCGACAATGCAAATATTCTTGACCTGGGAAACGCGGGCTGGCAAATCGAAAGAGCCGACCTAAATTCCGGTAATGCGTTTTCTGTGCGACGGAGCTGCTTTCGCGTGCTCCGGCGTGCGTCGGTTCGCTCACGGGGGGGTTTTTAAACGTTACGTGCAGCCGATCGGCCAATTCATTAATGGGGAGAGCAAATAAACTGTTCCGCGCGAAATGCGCAGAGAGAGAGAGAGAGAGAGAGAGAGAGAGAGAGAGAGAGAGAGCCCGGCGAATGACGTCCGTCAAACACAGCCGAGTTAGCGGAAGAATAGCACTCTTCGGTGTCGCAATGAGCTTTAAAAGCCGTACAGCGGTGGCAGCTTTTAGCGTGACATCGTTGTGGAAAAGTAGGTGCCGCCCCCGCAAGTGCGTTTTAACGCACATGACGAAATGGACGGCGTCGGGCCACGGAGTTCCCACGGGAAACATAGTCGTGCCAAATCGATGCACGGGCCGTCGTTCGATATACGGATGGCCACATGAAACCCGTCGATCACCTCGGCCGCATTACTATTTTATTGTAACTCGTTACTGCGCCGTGAATCTTCGTGGATTTGTGGCTCGCGATTTGTTGCGACACGCGAACCGTCTTGACGGATACGCTTAGGATCGTTTATATTTTTATTCGTCTGTTTTTCTCGACATATTTTTTACGGTACTCCTTTTGGACACGTTTTTTTTCTATAGAGCTTATCGAAACATAACACTGCTGAACATTTAACCTTTTAGGTACGGCCGAATTCTGCGCGAGGCTATTTCTCTGGACGGCAGAGTTTGATATGTACTGTACGGAGTCTGATACTGTACATTCTGTCTGTATATATAGGATGTCCCAAAAATGTCTCGCAATCCGAAAGTGGCGGGTTCTTCAGGCCATTTGAAGCAACTTTTTCCTTTACAAAAATTGTCTCCGAGGCACCGTTAACGAGATATTAAAGAAAAACAGTGACCAATGAGAGGCGAGCTCGGCTGGCGCGAGGCGATCGAGCCAATGAGCGGAACTGGGCTTCGCGCGCCGGTTGGCTGGGCCGCCTCGCGTCAGCCGTACTCGATTCTTATTGGTCACTGTTTTTCGTTAATAACTCGTTAACGATGGCTCGGAGAACATTTTTGTAAAGGAAGAAGTTGCTTCAAATGATCCGAGGATCCCGCCATTGCCGGATTGCGAGACATTTTTGGGACACCCTGTAGACTGTTGTAAATCGATGCGAAGACAAAAGAAGTGTGAAACAATGCATATGAAGACGATTATTTGGTTCAAACGATGAGCGAGTGTGCTACTAGAGCAAGCCACTATACTGGCGCGTCGTCCAGAGAGATGACATCCGCGAAAACCACTATAGTGGCGTGTCGTTCTAAAAGATGATATCCGCGGAAGCCACTATAGTGGCGCGTTGTGCCTAAAAGATTAAATCCATTAAAATTGGACGGTCAACAATATTTAAACGCAGTGTCCAAGTGAGTG